TAAAAGATATAGATAGATAGATATACTTTTTCCCCATTATAATTATCTCTATGGCTCTATCACAGGACATGTATAATAAGCATACAATAAATATGTTTTGAATTGTTGAACAAAAATTACATAAGAGGACATAGATGAAAGCACGAATACAAAGAAACAGTCATGAACAGGCTTGGAATGCTGAGGCTATTGCTCGGCAGCATAAGCACCTACCTGGCAAGCGTAAGGTCCCAAGTTTGATCAACAGTACTGAAAAAAAAAAGGCTTAGAAACAAAACACCTCATAGTTGAATTATGTTACTCAGGTTGTAGGTATGGAATAAAACTACCTACAGGCATTTTGGGAACTTCACGCATTCCGCTGTACTAATGGCAGTGCCATTTCAATCTTATCTTACTGAGAATATAGTTTAGTCACCTCAATAGCAATGTTAACCATTGGAATATGCAATTACCTCCTGCAGATAAATAATCTGGGTTTTAGAGGTTCCACTCTTACAGAATAGCCTTGTCTGTAAGGTCTTTCTCTGTGGTTTGTTAGGACTGGCTACATTGCACCTTCTTTTTATTTTATGTTATTTTATTTTAGGGAAGGAACTACAGAGTGTTCAGGATCTCACTACAAGAATGGTTCATAATGATCCGCCTGTTTATAGCCTCTCAAGAGCTGGGATTACAGGTGCATGACACCACTCCCAGTTTTAGTCACTGTCTCAGCACACCCCCTGGGGTCAGGCCCGGCACAGCAGGCCAGGGGATCAAACCCCTGGCCCCTGCACCTGCTTGCAGGTGCTTTAATCTGCTGAGCTATTTGGCCGACACTGCAGTGCACCTTCACGAAGCAAAAAGTTTGGGCCTGTAAGCCTCCAAGCCACAAGTAACAGAGCTGCGTAACAAAGAACACAGTCCATTTTTTCGTCTTTACATTGTGTTGCATTCTTTTCCTAGGTAGTTCTCTGATAATTGAGTATTGATTACAACTGATGGGCCTAATGTATAATAATTAAAGTAGTTAAAGTCATCTTTTCCAATGTCTGTTCAACTTAATTTGATTTTTTTGAAAAATAAGCCTTAGGCTACTTAGAATCAGAATTTCATGTGGCAAAATTTCCTTAGGGCAAAACTAATCAACTAGCTGCCTACCTGTCTCCAGGTATTGAGTACTAGCACTCAAGATTAGACCCTTAAGGTTTTCAGCAGGTTGCAGGATGGTGGGGGAGATGTGCAAGCATCTAAGACTGCAACAGGGAGGACTGTGAGCCCACAGAGCAGGAGGCCGACTCTCACTATAAAACTTAGGATGAGTCTGAGAGGCTGCGTGAGGAATCACACAGAGAAGAAGCCTCTCCAGTGGGGGAAAGAGTATGAGCAGCTCATCTGAAAAGGAGCTGCTGCTGGAGAACAGAGACTGCAATGGGCATGTGGGGAGGTTCAGGGTCTGAGTCAAAAAACAGGCAGTGCCACAAGGAAGCTGCACACAGTAAGTGCATCAGTAACAGAGAGAAGAGATCCAAAGGTGTAGTGTGTGATCAACTTGGAGTGCACCAAGGGCTGTTGAGATAGCTCAGCAGACAAAACAGCTGCTTCAGCAAGAGCAGGGACCAGGGTTCAATCGCAGGTTCTGCATGCATTCCCTGGTCCCCCACGCTGTGCACCAGCCCCGGCCCCAGGGCGTGTTGCGCAGGCGACCAAGTCCAGGCATAGTGGCACACACCTGTAATCCCAGCACTGGGGAAGCTGAAAACAGGATCACTATGAGTCGGATCTGTGTAATGGGACCTTATACCAAATACACAAATGAAAAGGAAAAAAAAAAATACTTAGAATGCACCAAAATCTCTGAGTCTATCCTACAGAAGACTGACTCTGAGGTTCTGTGTGCCCTGGCCAAAGTCTGCATCTGCGATGTCACTTTGCTCCATGTGCTTCCCCTCCCACTTCTCTCTAGCTAGTCACAGAGGTTCTCTTTGATTCCTTTAAAAGGCCAGGTGCCTCTCTCCTCCCTTTCTCCCTTCCTTTCTCCTTCCCTCCCTTTCTTTCTCCTTCCCTCCCTTTCTTTCTCCTTCCTTTCCTCCCTTCCTTCCTCCC